GGGTGAGGGTGCGGGGCGCCAGTAGCAGCAGCAGCAGGGGAAGGGGGAAGGGGGGGATAAGGAGGAGGAGGGGGAGGGAAAGACGAACCACGAACGAGTGAAGCTGCTGCCAATCAAAGAGTGTAACAAGAAGCAGAACTGACTGAGGGGGCGGGGGAGGGGCCCTTGGGAGAGGCAGCTCTACAGGGGGGGCAATACGACATGGGTAGTGTACCTATATGCCGTACAGCGCCGTATTTGCCGTACCTGCATTGGTCACACAGCGGCTCAATGGCTCGCGTCAGTTCGTCACACACGACGCAATGGCGGGACAAGTAGAAACGGTCGATAGTGCCGCCGCCGCCGCCGCCGCTGACGCCGCCGCCGCCACCAGTCGGGCCGCCGCCGGCGCCGGGAGGGCCAAGGACGCCGCCATTTCTGCCGCCGGTAGCTCCTTCCCCGTGTCGGGTTTAACGCAGCGTCGGTGGGGGCAACCCCCCGGGAACAGGTGGAGGTACAGGGCAATGATAAGTTTATACGTTTAGCGCACAGGAATCTGCCTGGTTTTAGTTTGAAAATTTACGACAATAATTCACTACTCAATGAGCTTAAATTATTCACAGATTGGTATATAATTGCTGAATCAATTAAAAGAAATTTAAGCAGATGCGTTATGCGGCAAGTGCCGTACACACATAGGAAACCACGTTTGTTCCATTTCGCGATGCTCCGGAAAAGGATTGTGGAGTGTGAACTCCCTCTTCCCCGGACAATGTGGGTTTTGCGGGGGAGGGGGGCTTGCCGTACAGAAAAAGGTTGGTCTCAGATAACCCTCTCCCTCTCTCTCTCTTGCTACCGGGTGCGCGGCCCCAGGGCCCCAGCGCCGCCGCCGCCAATGGCAACGCCGCCGCCGGGCGCTTCTGCGGCAACATACGCTGCGGTCGCGGCATATCCGCAAACCACGACCGTATATCGGCGCCGACCTGTGTACGGCAAGCATGTACGGCACAACAAAACGCGTGTTGTAACCGTGTTCTAATTCTTCACTGCCCAGCTTTACACATAGCTTGGGCTAAAAGGTTGTTTTTCTTCAGCCGTACAGCATTGTAGTACAATCGCTAGACAGGCGGTCCATCTCCGCAAACCCAACCCTGTTCCCCCTCTTCGCAATTGTACCCCCCTTCACCCCCCCTCACCCCTTACCCTCAAACCCCCCACCCCACCCCACCCCACCCTCACCCCACCCCTTACCCCACCCCACCCCACCAGGCTCATCACCCTCTCCAGGGCCGGTATTATCTGTTTGGTGATGTAGTAGGTGCCATTCAGCCGCAGAGCCCCTCCGCTGTCCACCAGCTGATGAGGACTAACCACCAGGTCCACCAGCCGGGCACCTGGCGGGGGGAGGGGGAGGGGGCAGGATTATACGATGCAATGCAAAACAATGTGCTGCCGAAAGGAGGGCGGAGAAGGGAGAGGGGTATGAGAGGCTGGAATGTTTAGACGGTGGCGAGCCGCAAACCCTAAACCCTAAACCGTACATCCTCCTGTACAGGGGTACGGCGGAATAAAGGGACTGGAGGCGGACCGGGGAGATACCAGGAGAACAGAAAGGCAGTGGGGCACTCTTTTCCCCGTACCTGGCTCGCCGTACACCACCACGTACGGCACTCGCTCCGCGTAGCGCGGCTCGGCCCTTGGGTCGACAGCCATCGCCTTTGTGGCCACCACCGCTGCAGGGGGGATGGTGGCGGCGTTGGCGGAGTAGGTTCCCAACCTGGTGTGGGAGAGTTAGGGGGGGGAAAAGGGGGGGAAAGGGGGTCTTATGGGTTTCGGAGAAGCGACACCCGCAAAAAGGGGGAAGGGCGGATAACCGTACGTACGTACACCATACACGGCGTCCATGCACCGGCCCCTCCAGGTCCCTCCTAAACGCCCCCATAAAGTAACAGATCTAAACTAACGAACAATTACGCAAACAACAACTACTTAAAAAATAACTTATACCAGCCATGTACGAGCCAACTAACCGACCATACGACAATGTCTGCACGGGACAGATGATGCGATCAAAGCTTCCTTCCTCCCTCCCTCCCTCCCTCCCTCCACCATTGCAGTACTTCACCACCTCTCTCTTTCCCCCCCTTTCCCTCACCTGACTTCCTTTGCAAATATGAAGTCCTGTACGGAAACCCTGTTGGACAAGATCTTGGTCCACTGGCGGCGGAGGTATGTCTTCACGTCGGAGAGGTCGCGGCTGCCGAACAGCAGTCGGAGGGACTGCTCCAACAACTTGGCCACCGCGGGGCAGCTGTCGCGGCGGACCGTCTCTATACCCTGAGTGTGTGTGATGTACGTGTGGTGGTGGGTAGCGGTTCGGCGGGGTAGTTGGATTGCAGTGGTAATGTGTGGCATATATTGTGTATACATATACATATATGTATATACATACATACATTTATACATATATACACCCTCCGTCCACCCCCCTCCGCCAGCCGGCACGAGAGCACACAACCCCCTCTTCCCCTCCCCCAACCCCCCTACCCCTCCGACCCCTCTTAGCTCCCAACCCTTACCAGGGCCACCCACTACCGAGTGAATAGGGGGAGTGAGTGAGTGAGTGAATGAGCCGCACGACCTCTCAGCCGCGGCCCCCCTCTCTTTCCAATGTCCCTCTCCTCCCATAACCCACATATCACATCTCCCCCCGCCGCAGCTCTATCTAACCCCCCCTTTCCCCCCCCCGGGTCCACTCCCTTGCCTTGGCATCAAATGTAGGCTGTGTCTGGCTCGGTGACTCGTACGAAAATCCCACGTAACGTTTTTTGGTTTGCAGGATGCATGGCTGGTACACCTGGTGCGCGCGCGGCCGTTGGTTCAGTTGGTTCAGTTGGTTCAGTTTATTCAGTTGGTTCAGCTAGGTTGTCTGTTTTTCACCTCTATAAATCTATCCAGAAAGAAAGATCTGATAAAAAAAAGCTTCACTACCCTTTGAATTCCGTTAAAATTAATAAAAGTACCGGTAGTTCGGGGCCAGAAGAGGGATTTCCCCCACATAAACTTGCTGTTCTTAATTCATTAAAACAAACGTATTGGTTGTGAGCTAAAGCAGCCAGGCAGATGTACGGACGCATATAACTACGGCACGGCAAAGGGCGGAAAGGAACATTGCCGTATGCGTCGTATGTCGTACCTTCTCCATTTTGAGCGTTACGGGCGCGGGATTAGCCGCCGTGACGGCCGCAGCGATCTCGGCACCAATGCGGAACGCCTCCTTGCGACTGCGCCCCGGGAGCTGTACGAACATTGAGTCCGTATCGCCGTACACTACCCGCGCGCGCCATTCGGGATTGGACTCCACCTGCTCTTCCCCCCCCCAACAAACGTACACACGTACACGTACGTACATACATACACACACATGTACACATACGTACACGCAGGAGGGGATGGAGGGGGGGAATGAGAGAGACGGTTGGTACAACAGCCCGGTAGCGGTTACAGTGGTTAGATCCCCATTCAGATCCCCACCCCTGTTTACCACACCACCAGATGATTCACATATATATGTGTGTATATATGTATATATGTATATATATGTGTATATATATGTGTATATATATCCGCACTACCTTCACTCCGCTCACACGAGTCTTTCTGCCGTTTGAAGGTTTCTCTTACCGGGGGCTCGGATAGACCTTGAAGGAGAATACCGTCTCCCCTCCTCCCCTCCACACCTCCCCCTCCTCCCCCTCACCCTCACCCCCGTCTTCCCCCCCCCGGTCGCAACCCCCACCCGCATATCACCAAACCCCGGCACACCATCGCTATGGCGTTCTCCAGCGTCTGCCTCCCCGACTGAACGATTGAGTCCGCCAGCTCAGCAAACGGCAGCCGACCGCTGAAGCCGGCTGCCGTATAGCCGTACGACACGTTAGCGATCATTTTCAAGCCGAACTGGCGGGCGTTGAGGATTCGCAACAGGACCTACATGACGTGGAACGTACGACAGTACGTGGCAATGACAAGTTTATGAAAAGATCAAGAAAGGTCAGAAATTGAGGAATGAGGAGAGCGGCCTGGGGCAGAGGAGGAACTCCATCCCAGGGTTCGCTGATTGGGAGTTAGAGGGTTGCGGGTTGGGGGTTGAGGATTGCCTCTCCCCCTCTCCCCTCACCCCCTCTCCCCTCCTCCCCCTTCCCCTCCTCCGCCTCTCCCCTCCTCCCCCTCTCCCCTCCTCCCCCTCCAGCCCCCTGCCTTGTCCTCCTGAGCCACCTTCTTCATGGCCCCCTTGATCATGACCCGCGTGTTCAAGATCTCGGACAGCATGCGGGGGAGTACACCGGGGCGGACCTGCGGTGTGTGTGAGGGGGGGAAGGGGGGAGGGGGGAGGGGAGACGGGGAGGAAGTGGATCTGTATTATCGTAGAAAGATTTTGCTATCCGGTATATGGCCGTGGTATAATTAATGATGCGGCGCCATGAGTGCCACCGGCCAGCCACTTGATTCACGGACGACAGCCAACAGCAGCAACGCCAACCCAAAACGCGTGCGCACAAAACACACGAAAATTTACATATACATACGTACATACATACATACGCAAGTATGTACATGCACTCGGATATCTACGCAGCTGTACCCCCCCCTAGGTGAGGCCGGCTCATTTTCCATTAGTATCCGTACATGGTTGTTATGTCCGTGTTATGTACAAAACTGCGCCGTACACTGTGTTGCCGTACCTTTGGCGGGACGTACGCGATGCCATTGGGGCTGATGATCAAGTCGTCCGGCGACGCGGCGGCAGGGGTTGCAACGCCGCCACCGCCACCGCCACCACCGTTAACGCCGCCGCTTGCGGGAAGTACGGCACCCACGGGGTAACTATACTGTGTAACACCCAGCCGTACCGGCTGGCCAGCTGCAGTACGAGTAGTCCACATCCCGCGTGACGTACCACACATACGCACCCGCCGCCACCGCCGCCGCCGCCAGTGCCACACGGGTAGTAGTACGGAAACACGGTTATTTGGAAACGGGTGCGTGTCCGCACGTATGTATGTATGTATGTCATCAGGGCAACGTGTCACGTGGGTGGGTTTCAGTTCATCAATATGAAACAGGAAAACACCCCCAGGTCCCCAACGGCGGCTCCCCGAGGAGGGGGGGGGGGGGGAGATGAACCACACACGATTGAAGCTGCTGCCAGGGCAAGAGAGTAACAAACGTAGAACTGACCGAAAGGCGTTCGGTCTCCCCGAAGGGGGGGGCCCCTGGGGTATGAGAGGGGTAGTGGGGTGAGTCCGGGGGTGGCGACAGGGGGCCCCTGGTGGTAGGCAGGTAGGTAGGTAGGCAGGTAGCACATAACGGTGCGGTGGAGGACTTCCTTCACCATTCCCCTTGCAAATGTACGACACATGATGCGATACGGCACGAGGTGCCACGTCACATCATGCGGGGCTCTCCATTCCCCTTGACCCCTTCGTATCGGTCGGTCCCAATTTCCTCAGGTCCTTCTCCACACATACATACATACACACATACATACACATATACATGCGTACATATATATAAACGCACAATTTCTTGAATGCTCGGAGTGATCGTTCCTGGGGGTGTACTTCGGTTTTTTCCCGCTCTGCCGCTCTCCCCGCCCCCACAGTCCCCAATCCACTTCACCTCACTCCCCCGAGCCAAACGGGTCCCTAAAACCATGTAAGTTACCCCCCCCCCCACACACACACACACACGTGCACATGCACACACACACACACACACACGCACATGCACGTGCACGTGCACGTGCACATGCACATGCACATGCACATGCACACACATATCAGATATATATGCATGCGATAGCAAACTAAAACATCAATTCGCTATAGTCTAGGCGGTTAGGATATGAGATTTTCACTCTCGAGACCCGGGTTCGAGTCCCGGTAGCGAAAACACATACATTCATGGCAGGTGGCTGGCAGAAGATAAGATCCGACTTTTCTGTTCCCGGAGGTTCAAATCCGCCTGCCGACCTCTCGGTACGTGAGAAGTGCTGAATTGGGAGGTGGCACCCCATCCTGAGGACGGTGTAGGACGTGATTATAGCAACTTGCGAGCTGACCAGGAACTAAGTTGATGCGCCGTTGATCCGCTAGATTTGGTTGGATGCTGGTGGTGAGTTGCCGAACCCAACGAATACACTCTGAAGTCGGATGGGGTGAACGGATTAGGGTGCCCCTCTCGCAGGGGAGAGCAGGGAACTGCCTCCAAGGGAAAGGGGGCCGCTGGTGAACCACCCTGTGTACCACCCTGTGTAAACATGATCTATGCATACCTGCTCTTGCGTGTTGCGGCCTCCCCACACACGTTGAGTAGCACATGTTGTACGCGATAATCTGAGAGGGGTACAGCGATTGGAAGTCCAGTACGACAACTGGACACGTGTACATGCGGCTCTCCGGTTCCATCACCAAGGGGAGGCACTCCATGGCGGGTTGACCACCCACCTGGTACGGGTGGGGTAGGGGTACGGGTGTGGTAGGGGCCCGTATGTATGGGTGGATGTGTGTGTGTGTGCGTGTGTGTGTGAATGCGTGTGTGTGTGTGTATGGGGGGACTCCCTTATGTGGTTTGTCTTACCCCCCACCTCTCCTCCCCTGCCTTTCCCCCTCCCTCCCTTCCCCCCGTACCTGCTCCCTGCTAGGTGACGTCATAATGAAATTGTTCGTGTGTGCCAGCCGCACCAGCAAGCTCTCCACGCGGTACTGACTGCCCCGAGACAGGACGGAGAAGAAGTCGATGCCGAACGTGCTGAGAAGTCCGGGGAGGGGAGGGGGGGGGGAGGAGGGGGGTACGGATGGGTGGGTGGGTGGGAGGGACGGGGGTTTTTAGCACTCCTCCACTAAAACACGAATGAACCTGGCAGGTATGCACGAACGTGTGCGCACTTGTTCTTTGGAGCACGCCAAAAATACGACCCTGAACGTGTGCCAGATAATGTACGACATCGCCGTACGTACCGTGCCAGCTCCGCCGTACGCCCGATAAGGTCTAACTGTTCGCACATGGCCAGGTCCAGACGACATCGGCGCAGCAGCCAGTGGAGGCAGCGCCAACGCCCCCCGGGGGGACCTGTGGCCGTTTGTGGTGGTGGTGTGTGTGTGTGCGGGGGGGGGAGAGGGGGGTTGTTCATTTGCCAGGGGATAATACGTACCTACTGATAACACATACATGCATACATGCATACATGGGTACAACAGCAGCAGCAGCAATAGCAATATGTTCTGCTGCTACTGCTCTTCCTGACCCGTGAAACCCCTAAAACCTCTAAAACCCACCATGCCCCCGAGCACACACACATACACCTCCACACTGCGACAATCTGAACACCCCTCTTCCATCCACTTCCTCCCCCCCACACACCAACACACACCTCCCCCTCCCCCCCCCATTCACACCCACCCGCCGCAAACCAGGCAGCCAGCTCTTGCTCCCGCACTCGAGGTACCCTAAGTCCCAAGACCGCTGCCGTACAGCTCTCAAAGCTGTACGACCCCAGTTTCAGCTCCCCCCGTAGCACCCGCCACAGGTTGAGCAGGATGCGCCCTGTCACGTAAAACCCGCTGCCGTGCAAGACGCCCCACTCGTCGTGCTGCAGGGAGGAGGCAGCGCAGGCAGGCCGCGGTGAAAGACCGTAGATCGTGGGCGGAAATTGATATTTTTTTACATATATTAGTTGCAATAGAAATCCAAAAATAATTTCAAAATGTAAAACCCTAGCCTTGCGAGCCCTAAGCGGAAGACAGCGACTAGGAGGGGGAAGGAGAGGTTCACCGATCACCGACATCCAAAGAACCACAAAGAGGGGGGGAAAGAGGGAAATGGAGATTATAGACTTAATTTTCAAATTTCTCTAATATCTAATATTTAAAATTTAAACTAAAATAGGAAATCTGGACTTTTAAAGTTCAAATGCAAAAGTGGGAATATAGCAACGTACTCGTGTTATAATTATTTTAATATCTTAACAAAAAAACACCGATGCAGGCAGCGCGTGCATGTGCGTGTGCGGAGTGGAGGCGTCCCCCTCTTCCCCTCCGCTGGCAAATGAATACACACACACACACAACACACACACACAACACACACACACACAACAACACACACACACAACACACACACACACACACACGAAAACACACACACACAGTCTTTCACCTCCCCCCTGTTTCCCCCCGTTCCTCCCCCTTTTCCCCCACCTGTTTTTCCTTGATGGAAGCTGCGCCCGGTGTCCTCCCCGCGCTCCTCAGCAGCGGTGGCGTAAGGCCCAGCGCCGCCCCCCGCTCCGCCAGGTACCCCAGAGAGTGGCGTTGCACGTCCCACCCCAACAGCATGTCCGGGTCCAGACAGCAGAGGCAGGAGGACACCGCACGAAGCAGACTCACCTCGTCCTAAACCCGAATATGTGCATGTATGTCCGTATGTCCACATGTCCATATGTCCGGATGTATACATGTCGCGTGTGTGTGGACCGAGGTAGGGGAAAGGGAAGGAAAAAAAGGGGAAACATTGGCAAAATTTGGAGAAATTGATAAATTGGGAAAAGGGAAAGGAGGGGCATGCCTTGTGAGGAGGAGGAGTAAGACGAGGAGGAGGAGGAGACGTTTTATGTTTGGACTCGCCAGATAGCAGCCTTACCTCAGCCATTTATCGTATCCTCCTTACCCTCCTTACCCTACTTACACCTCCTCCTACCACTCACCCCATGCTAGCAATGTGGCTCCGCAACACCCCCCCCTCCCGCCCTCTTCCCACTCACACCGGAGCAACCGGCACACGAATGCAACCCACCGCAAACGCCTCCACCGACACCGACATCGACACGCCGCCGAGACCGTCCACGTGCACGGGTACACCCCGCACAGCCGCCAGCTCAACACCGGGAGGAAGGAACGGACCACTGCTACTGCTTCTGTTGCTACTGCGACTGCTACCGCCACCGTTACCGATACTAATGCTGTTGAAGCTAATGCCGGCGTTGCGGTCGCCGCCGGGGCTTCCGTTGGCGGGGGCGGCCGCAGACGCCGCCGCCGCCACCGCCGCTTCCGTTGCCCTGGGATCAACTATTAATAATCTGGCTGGATACGTCCAAGAGGCCGGTGCTCGTACACCGATTTCCATGACAGATATACATACGGCGCTGTGTGTGTGCGGGTGGGATGGGAGGGAAAGAGAGCGGCGAAATAACTGTACAGAATAACTGTACTGTACCTCGCCAATGAACGAGGTTGTACGGCAGCAATACGGCAGTAGTGATACGGCTTACTTGACGGCGTCGTGCTTGGGGTCGGGCAGCAGGGCTCCGCGGCAGGTCGCCGCCACCTCGAGCGCCGCCACCGTCACCGGCTCCCTACGAGCCCCCTCGCCAGCAGCGTCGCTCTGACAGTGAGCCGAACAATGTGGGGGGGGGGGGGAGGTGGGCGGGTCAGGAGGACAGGTAAGGAGGTGAGGAGGTGGAGGACAAATAGAGGGGGAACCAGCAGCTGTAGCTGTAGCAGCAGCCGCAGCTTTGTTTCTCTTCCGCCGTACAAACAAACCGCCGTATGTCGCCCTGCCATGGGTGTCACTGACCCGCCTGACCCACCTGGGAGGCATCAAGACCTTCGCCAACAACACATCCCACTCCTCAAACGCACTCCACCACGCCGCCGCGGCCACCGCCGCCATCACCCCTTTTGCGCTACTGTACAAGCCGTACGATACTACGATACCGCCAAACCCGAATCCACGGGCCCATATCCCCTGCCATAATAGAACGACTACCAGCTTTCTCTCACGACCGCCACCGCCGCCGCTGACGACGACGTTGATGCCCCCGGTCATTTTTCTGCCTCACTTCCCCCTCTTCACTTCCTCCCCCCCACATCTCCCATCCCACTCGGCCCCCAGTTGTCTTCCCCAGCCTGTATCACTTTCCCAACTCCCTTCACCGTCCAACCCAACCCCCATCCAACCCTAATTCCATTATCCCTGGCGGGCCCCGACTACCTTGCGACGGAAGCCCCGCTGGCTAGGCGGTGTGGGTCCGGACGGGGCCTGACCCACGGGTCGCAGCGGTGACAGAAGGGAGATGGGCTGTCCAGTGCCGGGACCCGCGCCGGGCGTTCGTAGAGTCCCCCCGGTGCCTAAAAACACTACGGGCTGCTGCTGCTGTTGTTGTGACAGCGACGGCGGCGGCGGCGGCGCCGGGGTGCAGCCGGGTGGCTGTAGCGGCAGCGGCGGGCGAGGGAGCAGCGGCGGCAGCGGTGGCGGCGAGGCAGTAGCAGCCATGGCGTCAAGGGGGTCAAGTGACGGCCGCGGCGGTAGCGTGACGCCAGGCGGGGCGGTTGGGAGCGCGGGTCGTGGCGCCGCCACCGCCGCCGCTGCCGCCGCCGCTACCCCGAAGGCAGCGAAAGGCGCTGGAGTGGACGCCGCCGTCGCCAAGGCAGCAGCTCGCCGCCGGTACGGCTGGATCCTGGTGTCGACGCCTGGCGTCGCCGCCAGCTGCGAAGCTGTCAGTACGGCACCAATGACGGCTTCGGGAGCTTGCTGCGACATTCGCCGCTGTTGGTTGTCGCCGTCGCGACTGTCTCCGCCGTCGCCGTTGCCAGAGTGGTGATGGCTTCGGGAATGCCGCCGCCGCCGCCGCCGCCGCCGCCGCCCCGCACCGTCGCCTACCTCTCGGTCATCGGTAGCACCGGCGGACGGTGTCGCAAACGGCACGCCACCTACGTCGTACGGGACGGGACCGAGGTCACCTCCATCACTGTCGTACGATTCTGAGGTGGCATCGTCAATGCTGCCGTCGACGGCATCCTGGCCAGGTCGCTGCGTCGCGAGCCGCCGGCGGTGGTGGCGGCTCCGCAGCGCCCATCTCCGCCAGTGGTCGTCGTCGTTGCCGCCGCCGCCGCCGCCGCCGCCACCAACCTGGCTTGCATCGCGCCCTCGCTGCCATCGCCGTCGACACCGCTTGCGTTGGCGGCGCCTGGAAGTCAATCCGCCGGTGGCGGCAGCCGCAGCACCTAGCGCTACGACGCCCAGGAAGCACGTTCGATCGTCGTACTTTGGTGACGGCGGCGCCTCCTCCAGCTCTGGCTCCTCGTCACTGCCGCCGCTACTTTCGTCGCTATGTGCGCCATCTGGACCATTGCCGCCACCGCCGTGATTACCACCGTCGACGTCACCGCCGCCGTCGACGGCGGATCCAATGCCCGCCAGCGACGGCGTTCCTAGGAGGCTCGCTTCCGCGAGGTTTCCGCTCGGCGCCAGCGGCATATCTTTGTCAACCACGGCAGCGGCCGTGCCGTCGACGCCGCCGCCTCCACTGCTGACAGCTCGCAGCATGCGCCGGCCGTACTCACCTTCGCCGCAACCGACGCCGCCGGGACCACTCGCGGGACGCAGCTGACCCGTGTTAGGATCCATGGCTAACCCCGCTGGGTTGCCGCGGCCGCCGCCGCCGCCGGCGGCGGTGCGGGTTGCCGCCACGTTTGTGCGTTTGCCATGCCCGCGACCGGCTGCCGCCGCCGCCGCCGCCGCTGCGCGGCGTTCCGCCCAAGCGTTCACCTCAGCCGCCGACGGCGGCGGCAGCGCCGGCACCAACGCAACACCGCGGATCCTGCCGTGCCCGAGCATGTTGACCCGCTCCGCCGTCGCCGCCACCGCCGCCGTCGCCGTCGGCGCCACCGCCGCCCTGAGACGCGACAATGGCTGCGCTGCTGCCGCGCTGCCGCTGAAGTACGGCACATTATCCCATGCGGGCACTCGAAACTCCCTGTGTGTGTGGAGAGGGGGGCCAAGGAAATGTCGTGCTGCTGCCTTTGCATCGTCCTTGTGCACTGCGCAGGATCCCAACCCCCAGTACCCTCCATCATGGCGGTATTGGCCTCTAGGACAGAGAGAGAGAGAGGTAGGGGGAGAGAAAGAGATAACGCCAGATCCGCACACACATGCATGCAGCCCCTTCATGCAGCCCCTTCATGCAGCCCCTTCAGGGCCCCTTCATGCAGCCCCTTCATGCAGCCCCTTCATGCAGCCCCTTCATGCAGCCCCTTCATGCAGCCCCTTCACGGCCCCTTCATGCAGCCCCTTCACGGCCCCTTCATGCAGCCCCTTCATGCAGCACCTTCATGCAGCCCCTTCATGCAGCCCCTTCATGCAGCACCTTCATGCAGCCCCTTCATGCAGCACCTTCATGCAGCCCCTTCATGCAGCCCCTTCATGCAGCACCTTCATGCAGCCCCTTCACGGCCCCTTCATGCAGCCCCTTCACGGCCCCTTCATGCAGCCCCTTCATGCAGCACCTTCATGCAGCCCCTTCATGCAGCACCTTCATGCAGCACCTTCATGCAGCCCCTTCATGCAGCCCCTTCATGCAGCACCTTCATGCAGCCCCTTCATGCAGCCCCTTCATGCAGCCCCTTCATGCAGCCCCTTCACGGCCCGCGCACAAGGCACGAAAGGGGGTCGGCCGGGATGTTGCACACCTGCCGGCGAAGATGACGGGGCGCGACGGCGCGTCGGCGGGATCCGAGTAGAACGGCTCCTGCGTACGGAAACAGGACAGGACATAGCGACAGGAGGACAGGAGGGTTTTCATATCGCCCGGAGTATCTGAGGAGTTTAAAAAAGGAGAAGAAAAAGAGGGAGATGACGAAACAAAGCGTAGAAGAGCGCAAGAAAGGAATTGCAATAATGAAAATGTCAAGGGAAAACAATATGTAAACATGAAGGTTCACTTAGGAGTAGGTCTGTACCTGTAGGCCATGCACACCAGCACAGACGAAAACAATTCGGATGAAGATCAACCCGAAAAGACGGGCGGACGGACGGAAGGCCAGACATATCAGCAGTAAGCACTTTTATGGTTTCGGGGCTGAAGAGCGTGCATGTGCTTGTCTCATGCGTGTATGTGCATCGGCATATGTGTATGTGTGGGTGGGGGAAGGGGGAAGGGGGAAGGGGGAAGGGGGAAGGGGGAAGGGGGAAGGGGGAAGGGGGAAGGGGGAAGGGGGAAGGCGGAAGGGGGAAGGGGGAAGGGG